TTTCGAACAGAAGCAATTGATCGACTGAATCGAACGCAATCTTGGAATCAAGGAACACAGCTATTGTCTGTCTGCGGTATGCGTGGCGCTGCTCTAGCACCTGCCGCAAAGTGAATATATGGTCTACACAGCTTCCTCTGGGCGGAAACCTGCCTGCTCTTCCCTAATCCGAGATTCCCGCGCCACAGTGAGGCGACGAACGATAATTAAGACAAATAATTTTGTCACAACCGGCGTTAGGCTAATAGTTCTGTGGTTAGGACAGTCTGTGCGACTGCTCTTCTTGTATATTGCCACCATAATCGATTCGCTCCAATCAGCCGGGACACTCTCTTCCTACTAGATACATAGGAATAGGGAGGTCAGTGCTTTGAAGAGGACCTCACCTCCATCCATAAATAGTGCAGGTGGGAGGGAATCCGGGCCAGTGGCACGAAAACGATTGGGGACTGTGATAGCGTTTCGGACCTCGGCCTACGACGGAGGCTCTAAACTAACCGTCCATGACTCATCCTGCATCATTTGAGTAAGAAGAGGTCCGGAACTAGAGGGACAGGTGAACTGATCTAGAAAGTGTTCCGCCCAACGAGCCATGCGGCGCTCCTTATTGTGCATCAGCGCTGTCTCTGACTGTCTCACTGACGCCTGGTTTCCTAGAACCAGTGGTGCGGATCAAACGGAAGAGCTTGCGGTAATTGCCTACTGCTCCTGGCTCCTCCATTTCTTGAGCCCGACTGGTCCACCAGGCTTCCTTGTTAGCACGTAAGCTCCGCTTTACTTCGCGCCTAATAGCCCGGTCTGGTCACATTGTGCTCAGAGCCAGCCAGAAGGTGTTTTCTAGATTCCACCAGGTTCACCGACCTCTCGGATATCCAGTGACTGGTGCGGTGATAGTACCACAAGCAGATGCTCCTGCGTCGTGCACGGCGGCCGAGAGCCTTTTCCACTGAAGCTCAGTGTCATTAGAACAAGAGAGCGGTATGGAGTGCGTCTTGATAGGCTTTCCTGACCGAGGGCTGAGACAATTTCGCAGTTACCAATCGGAGGGGACGCTTGGTGTGCCTCCCGGTAAAGTTCATGGAGAAACGACAGCGTACCAAGGCATGATCAGAGTCGACCCAGGTATTGCAGTACGAGGAGAAGAAACGACGACTTGGTCGAGAGAAATGAAGTCCCGTACTTCGAAGTTGGCATCGGCTGGCTTGTCCCGACTGCCGAGCTGGGGTCCGATGAACACGTCTATTTAGATACACTAGCTGACATGGTCGGAAGCTGACCTCAGTCGCGTTTGTGCTGCGAGTTTCTTTGTCCCTGCCAATCTCGCTTGTCTTCCGAATCCAAACACGATAACGCTCTTGACGCATAATTCATTACCGAGTAGTGTTATATGTTTTTGCTTTCTGTGATCTGGCTTGTTCAGGTCTTAACTTTATGGAATGCGGCAAAATAGTTGAGGTGTGGTTCTTACCTTCAGCTAATGTCTAATGATGATGAATGAAGCTGTGCGGGTGGCTGTTGAGCCGGAAACATTTGCATAGGTGCTCCGCACCGAGTCACAAAGAAGAAGTGAGACACAATGAGAGCATGGGACTAGAAAGTAGTAAAGACAGCAGCCAAGGTCAACATGGAGCGGCGCGAAAACTGCATGGAAATGCGAGCAGGATCCAAAACGAAGGGAAGCGAAGCACATGGGCAGCGGCTGGAGTATTGGATTCATTCACTGGGATATTGAGAGCAGGATGGAGGCCCCTTGTCAGCTCCAATGGTTCCACATCATTACAGAGTGGGTGCACGCTGTCGAGAGATCAGTCCTTCGGAGATCGTCCCCTTTAAAGTAAGAGCAACAGGACCCTGACGTTCGTTAGATGAGTCTAGCAATCGCCTGAAGCTTTCCTCTGTCTGCGAATTAATAATGTGTTCCCGCAGACTGTTCCAGTGATTTTCTATCCTGGAAGGTAGAGCAGCTTGCGGACAGGCGCAAAGTGTCCTCGGTTTAGTTTCCACTTGTGGCCAACTGTCGAGATGCCCACAGCGAGATGGAAGAACTGCTGCAGCTCACTTCCAAGCTCTCGCCTTAGGATGCGCCTGGTGTAGAGATCACGGCGCCAGCGGCGGTATTCCATGGAGAACAGGTTCAACGTCTTAAGTTGGATAGTGTAAGGTCCCGATATAGATTTTGAACCGCACCTCTATGGGAACAGGTGCAGATTTAGTTAAGGGGTAGGCGACCGGGAGACCATGTTCTAGACTCGGCTGAACATGCGAAGAGAATAAGGTTCTAAAAATATCCGGCGTAATTTTACAGAACGACCATCGCAAAGCCCAAAGCAATCGGTGGCTGCCGCCACCTTCTGCGTGTCAAGGGATGTCTTGAGATCGTCCGAGATGATGACTCCCAGGTTCTTCTTATGTGTGACAGACGAGATTATTTCCACTATGATGCACACCGAAGGGATAAAGGCCACCAATCGGGAAAACGGCACATTTGTCACAGTTTACTGGGAGTCGCCACTCAACGGACCAGTTATGCAGCTGATCAAGCGAAGCTTGGAGTCTGTCGGCATCCTCGGGGCAAGATATTTCTGACCACAGGTTGAGGTCATCAGCGTAGACTAGATAGTCGCTGGAAGATCGTTAATGTAGTTTGAGGAGCTCTGGTCCAAGGAAGCAGCCTTGAGGAACCCCACTGGTCATAGACACAGGGACGGAGAATGTTTGGTTCACCTTCAAGTGAATGGTTCGTGCTTCCAGGAAGTCTGAAATTCAAGACAACACGTTTCTGGTGACACCAACTTCATGAAGTTTGAGCAGAAGCCGTTTATGTGGCATTTTGTCAAATGCCTCGTTGAAGTCAATGTAGATGACATCAAAGTGTCTTCTCTCGTCCGTTGCCTTAACACACGCTTCTTTGTCAGCAAGCAGGTTAGTAATGCAAGATCGTGCTCTGCGGAATCCGTGCTGTGAAGGCGAGATTAGGCATAAGCCTCTCCAGTGAGGGTTGAGAGCGTGCTTGGTTATTCTTTCCATCGTTTTGCAGACAACAGACATAACGGCCAGTAGTTTGCAAGGTTCTGCTGATCACCTCTTTTGCATTTAGGCATTACTATTCATACTTTCCAAGCGCTAGGTAAGCGGCTCTTTGCGAGTGAGAGCCGGAATACTTGCATATGTGATGGATGATATACTCGGCCGACATCTTGAGGAATAGTGGGTGTAGTCCGTCAGGGCCTGGTGCGGAGCTAAGGCTCAAGTCACGGATTGGTCAAATGACCATCTCGACGATAATTTCAACTTGCTCCAGTGTTAGGCAGCACGTAGACACATCGCTGTTGGGCAGCGGTGGCTCTATTGAGTAGACCGCTGAGTACCGTGAGGCCAGTAGAGTGGTTTTCTAGTCATCGAGATGGAGTCAAGTGCCCTCACCAGGGGCAGATAGAGAAGAAAAACCGAGGTCCGTTTTGGTGTTTCGCCTTATGTATGAGAAGCCTCTTAAGGCCCGTTCAAGATTGAACAGCCAGGTATTGTTAGTATTGAGCTCGCCTCTGTCGCTTTTTCAGAGTGCACAGGTTTCGAACCTCTTCGTACTTTAGGTATCTGTGTACTCTTGAATACAGGGTTTACCCCGTCTGTTCAGTAACGACCTCAGTTCTCGGTCAATACAGGGGGTTATTTGTGAAACAGTCTGCCTCTGGATATCGAGACGGCTTTTTCGATGATCGACGTCATTTTGGAAAGCATTATCGAGACTCAGGGACTGTGGGACACTCCAATCTTCCGTACTTGCCGCAGCGTGTAGTCTGGACAGATCTATACGCCAGAAGCAATGACGATATGCTCCGTGGTCATTGATGGTAAGAAGTAGTGTTCACATGAGATAGGCTAATGTGCGATCACCTCAGTCGAGTGGTTGGAGGGTCGCCAACTCACAAACGTCAGAGGGCATCGGAGTGAACATCACACCAAGGACGTTTGATGTCTGGCCCGGTAGCATCCGCGTTGGTGTATTGTTGTGCTGAAGTAGATTGCATTCCTGAACAGCGTCGAGAAGTCCCCTCTCGAAGGAATTTTGAGAGTACAATGAAGAAGGTCTCAATTGATAGTGGGTGCAGACAAGTCACCCATTAGCAGACAGTTTCTGCCTCTGCCACTGGTTTTTATCGAGTGCATGAGACGAGAACCTGAGCCCGACGGAACTCCGTAGGCAACGCCAACCGCGAGCGTTTGGTGGCCACCATAGATCCGGCCCCCAAAGCATTTCCGAGGCAGCGTTATTGTCGGACGCCTAAACGAGGTAAACTTAGGGGCAATCTTACCAGTAGAGAATCATTTCTCCTCCGGCCCTCCCATCAGTAGGATCAGCTCGTGAGTTGATATCCTGTTATGCTAATTTCTGTGTCTAATACTTCAGATTACAGCTAAGTCTGTGAATGCAAATAGGTCTGGAGTGTTCAGAGATCAAAAGTGGAATCTCGTCGTTTGTTTCTGAGGTTGCGCACATTGGCAAGTATTACTCGAAGACCAATGTTTACACCAGCAAAAAATTGCCGCTAGCGTGCTCTCGGTGTCCTCTTCACCACGCGAAAATGCATGATATGGAGATCAGTTTCACCACTGGCTCTACGCGTGCGTAGCTTATTGACAGCTTGCTTTATAGTAATCATTTTCTGGACAGAGGTCGTTCAGGAAAGAGAATGTTTCGCCCTTAAGACGTGAAGTAGGCCTAAGGAAGCGGTGGTTACGTAGAATCTGTCTGCTTTCTACCCAGGGAGAAGGCTGAGACGATGTTTATGTCTTGCATGCAGATTGAGAAATTACATTCAAAACAAACGGTCCTGCGACGGTAGTGTACACATTTTCAGTCCTGCACTTACAAATTAACAGCGAGAAAGGGACTTTTAATCGGCGCCCAAAAACCCATGAGGACACGAGAAACGGGTTGCATGAACACACTACCACAACCTGAAATGCATAGAGCTAAAGAAAAGCCTGGTTTGGCGTACCTTTAAGGAGGCCAAGAAGCACACATGTGACAGCGGAGTCGGGGAAGTGGTGTAAACCGTGGCGTACTCCAAGTGATATCTTCCTAGCTCGTTGCACCTCCTTTAGTGAACATATAAACACTCGGATCGGCAAAAACTTGCATGTTCGATAAAGGACATCGAAAGGAAAATAATTGAGTAGATACCTGAAAGATGTGTGGTAAAAATGGCAATACACTGTACCAGACAGCGGTAGCGGTAAAGACATCCCGAAAGTTGTCAAAGCAGAGGAAAAGAGGGGATCCACAAATAAAGCTTGAGAGGATTGTGCCCCCGAAACACATAAGCATTGTGGCGAGCCAGCAAGAAAAGGGGTGGCGTCTTGAAAAATGGGGAGAGCCTAACAAAATGAATTCCCACTACTTAAGTACCTGACTGCGGTGTATCTTCTTTTACTGCAGTGCTCATAAGTATGTAGTGGCACACATCGAAGTATGGGTACATTCGCAGTTTGGCGAGGGTATCAGCAACGTCATCGAAAATACGAGGATCCATGGCGGACACGGAAATGCCAGGCCGACCGCCACACGACACGTCAAGGAAAAGAATATCGCTTAGGGTGCTGGGTACACCAACAATTATGTCAGGTTAGACCCCAAGGACGAATTAAGCGCTGCTAACCATCGTCCTGTTTCATGTACTGGCAAGCGAACCAGGGCGTCCAGTACCTCGCCGTTTGTGTTGCCTCCCTTGTCTCTGCAAAAGAAGTGAACATAGAACATGAAACACTTCTGTAAATCATCGATAATGGACTAAGAGGTATGACAATGGTGGCAGTGCACACATGAAGAAAGACTGCATGTACTCATTTATTTGAAATTTTACGAGACATGTATAAACAATTAAGTTTATAATGATGGTATATTGAAGTAATACGTAACTATTTAACTGTTCCAAAGGTTGCTTGACTGACATTCCACGGGTTCGGTTACTCATTCACTCATGCAATCTAGTTTGCATGTTTATTTTAGTTGTGGTAAATTCCTAATTAGTTTCATGTTGTTTTTTGGGTCGCATGGTTTTGGCTGTATGGTAATACGTCGCAGCGTTTATTTGCACACGTTGAAAATATGCACATCCGGCAGAAATTCCGCAATACAAATTTGACATGGAAGCTGCATAAAGTTCATAGAGTTCATGTAGAGAGCAGAAGGGATAACCATTGTCAGCTCCATCACCTCCCGTTCATTGGCTGGATGACATCTCGTTGCCTAACTGTGTTCCCCGAGGAATCGTTACAGCTGCAGCAACAACAGCGGAATCTAGGCATGCTCAGCATGTACGTGTCCAATCCTTCTGTAAAACATTCATCTGTCTGGGCACCTATCACACATTCAAGAAGACTGTTCCACTCATTCACAACCCGTGTGGATAACGCGACATCGGACGGGATATTGTTCCTCCAAGGTTTAAAAATTTTCAAGCTGTGGTCCCATGTTGAACAACCTGTGTTGAGCTGGAAGAACTGTTGCACCTCTTTCTTCAAAGCACCCCTTGAAATGCGTCTAGCATAAACCAGATAACCCCGACGACGGCGGCATTTAGAATAAATAAGTTCCTACATTGGAGACGAAAGGGGTAAAACATATAGCATAGACACAGACTTGGATCAGCGCCTCAGAACCTTCTCAAGCAACTCACATTTAAATTTCCTGAGTGGGTGTATGGCAGGTAGTCCATATTTCAGTACTGGATGAACTTGGGAGGAAAACAGGAGCCTGAAGTTCTGCGGTGTCAATTTGTAGAACCATCTTCCTATGGCCAAAGCATCCTGTTTGCATTTGCTACCTTCCGCAAAGTGTCCTGGGTTGTTCTTAGGTCTAGAGAAACAAGTACACCCAAATCCTTCTCACTAACTACATTCTTCAGCAGAAAACCACCAGTGACGCAAGCAGCGAAACTTTCTTGATCACCGATCGGTAGAACACAGCACTTATCATGCTTTATAAGCATTTTCCACTTGACAGAATAATCGTGCCGCAAATCGAGTGTCAGTTGTAAGTTATCGGCATTTTTAAGCCTGTATACTTCCGACCACAGTTTAAGATCATCCGCATAGAGCAAGCAGTCGATCTGGAGCAACTCCAGGAGATCGTTGGTAACGATTTTTAATGGTTTGGGACCAAGAACAGAGCCGTGTGGTAACCCACTGGTTATAAGACCAGGACCAGAGTCAACGTGGTTGAATTTTAACCTCATACGGTGATCATCTCGGAAATCAGCGATCCATGTGAGCAAATTAGCAGCGATGCCGCTCTGCCGAAGTTTGGTAAGGAGTAGCTTGTGTGGAACCCTATCAAAGGCTTTGGGGAAATGCACAAAAACTACATCAAGGCGATTGCCAGCATCCAATTACTTTGCTCAGTTTTCTCGGGCAACAAGCAGACTGGTAATGCATAAGCGTGCCCTCCGCAATCCGTGCTGAGCAGGAGACAAGACGTCCATTTTCTCAAAGTGAAGCTGCAAGGTCTGTATCAAAATCCTTTCCATGGTTTTACAGTGGATTGCTAGCAAGCAACTCGGTCGCTAGTTCACTGGATGTTGGCGATTCCTACTTTTGTACCTTGCTTTCACAACGTTCGCTTTCCAGTTAGTTGGGAGACGACCTGCTTCAAGTGAAATCCGAAATATTTGACAAGTAGTACCAGCAATGAACCCCGCCACACCCTTGCGGAACAAGGGATGTAAACCATCTGGATCCGGTGAAGAATTCGAGTTTAAGTAGAGAAGAAGTTCCAGTACTCTGTCAGTGGTAAGTTCGACATGGTCTAAAGGAGAGGAGTGAATGGGAGAATCTTTAACAACTAACGGTGTCTCCGGCGTACACACAGAGGACAGTTCCGAAGCTAGTAGACAAACATTGCCCATGTCATCATGAAGCACGTTGTAATCTTTACTTCACTACAATGCGGGTATATCGTTGCCAGATTTGGTATTTCTTTTCAGGAATGCGAAAATCTTTTCGGATTAATCGCATTTTGCTCGGTAAGCTGCTGCTCATATAATTATCGCTACATGCACTTTCTCAGTGTGCATAAATTACTAACTTAATCTAGAGTAAACTTGAGCCGTCTGCTTGTACTTGAACCTGCCCCAAAGGTTTCGCCTTCTCAGTATGAGCCATTTGGTTTACTGATCTATCTATGAGGGCCCTTTAAATAAATAAATAAATAAATATTTTATTCTCGACTATGCGAGGCACGCCCATGGAGGCGTGATCAGATATGCACAACTGTACAGACACTTTATGGCAGCTGTAACAGTGACAGTGGAAAATTGTTCATATATCCATGGTTGGAACTGTACAATGGTAAAAATGCGAAATACTAATCTGGCTGTCGTGAAACCGGGACCTCGGCTAATAATAGAATAAGAACCCTGAATGATCCATTGGAAGATAATTGAAGAGCACGCTCAAAAGAGCTATGACAATACAATGAGTTTGTGCACAAGTAACGCAAAGGTCAACGGTGATATCGTAGAAAGCAAAAATACGACAGTATATGCAAATGTAGAAGTTCCAGTGTAGTGTTCCTATCTAGAATGGTGACGCTAGTTGACCTGCGAGTGTGAAGATATGGGTTGTGACTTTATTCGGTGACGAGTCACATTCGCCACGTTACAGTGTTGTTAAACGGAAATTTGTGGCTTTTTATAGGGAGAAGACTTGCCAGGCGAAAACCCACCACGTCCTGAAACACTGCCGCCAATCCATTGAATGGCAAGTTGTAACTGGATATGTTTCTGGTTGAACGCTTCTTTGCTCTGTTATTCGCAGTCAGGTTGCGTCCCATTTTTCTGCCGGCTGATGCGATAGCCGGATGTCTATTGCATTCCTGAGTCCTGTCCCGTGCTCGATAAGTAGGTCGGGAACTAAACATTCTTTTTGAATACGATGTGTCTATACTCTGCAGAACCATGTGGACTTTCCGAGGGATATATATTGAAATATGTAGAATTGTTGTTGAAGGCTTGAAGAATGGCATATGGTTCCGAAGAAAGAATCAAAGATCCACCGGGATATGTAGTAAAATTTCTTAGAAATATAGGAAACCATGGCCAATTCAGCGGTCAGCGCGGATGGAAGAGCTCATAATGACCAATTGTTCTGGCTTTGTGTCGCAGGAGAATGTGCCTTCCGAAGTCAAAAGTAGTTCTCCAGGCAAGGGTAATGTGGAAGAGAAATTGGTAGGCAAACTGAACCCAGAGGTTCAAGCCTCAGAAAATTTTGTATCCGTGCATGCTAACGAATGATGTGTCCGGTTAGGAAGTTGTAAAAATGTTGATAATCTTCCGCTCATGTGCAGATAAAGGAACGGTGTGGCTTGTTTTGTTGTCGCAACGATGGACAATTCCTTGGGTGCGTGTCGCCGTACCTGTGACAAACTAGGGAAAAAAGGAAACGAACAGCAACAGCCACAAAGACAAGAAAGGGATGCGTCTGGAATGCAGTAGATCAATTGCGGCGATGACTGAACTATTGTACCCCTATACATGTAGTTGTTATTTAACTATCGTCCTACTTCTTCACCTATCTCTCTGGCGCTGGCTTTCCTGTTCACCTATGGACCACCTAGCTCTGATACTCCACCTACCCATCTATCACACTGTAGCTCTGAACTTTTGTAGCTAGAACCTTAAGTAGCATGCTATGTTTCCCACTTATATACTTATCGCAAAGCTATCATCGTTATTTCTATAACTGTTCCTCTATGAACCACAATACCCTTCCGCATTCTCTCTACATCTCGCTTCCATTTATCGCATAATCCTACCACTTTTATTACCTGTTTGGCCTTGGCTCTTCCCTCCTACTAGGCACCACCTGTCTACAGTCCTTCAACAACATATCGCTCTCACTGTAGCTCCGCACTCTTGTACATAAATAAATAAATAAATAGTATATTCTCGGTAAAACGAGACACACCTGTAAAGGCGTGATCAAATATGCATACAAGCATAGCTTCTGTGGAATGTTAAAACATTTCGTTTTAATGAAAGGTATAAAAGAAAAAATGTTGTCCGTATCAGTGAGCATACTGTCAGGTAATAGTCAAACCCAGGGACATATTGGCGCTGTGGCGCGCAAAAATCCGTCAAAACACAAGTTTGGGGGTAATTTCGCCAGGTAGTGATCCGTGAGCACAAGAGCCTAAACAAGGTTTTGTTGGAACCAATAACCATTACGAGATAGAGATGATCTGTGCTCCAACGAAGCATTCTTCATAGCAGAAATAGTTGCACAGGTTCGATGTAGAAGGCTGAGGACTGCGTCAGTGTGAAATGCTTAGCTGTGACTTTAGTTTGTGGCGAGTCACATCCGCCACGTTTGCAGTGTTGTTAAGCCGACATTTGTGGCTTTTTATAGGGAGAACGCTTGCCAGGCGAAAACCCACCACGTCCTGGAACACTGCCGTAGCTTTCGTTGAACAGTAGTGCAAGTCGGTTATGCATCGTATAGACCGATTTTGCATTCTATTATTCGCAGTCTGTTGACAGCCAAAATTTTCGTTGGTTGGCCGAATGGCTTAGTACTGGTACGGCAGCAGTCGTTGTGGTCGGTCAATGATGCAAGATCCGAAGAGTCGAATGATAATGATGCAGGTTAGTAAACACATTGTTAATAGAGGCCGGCTCTTCTATTATATTCTTGCTCGGCTCGCAAACCGTGTCCAGCTATCCACGCTGGACTTGTCATGAGGTCGGTGAGTGAAGTTGTTTCTTGTGGCTGAATATGTCCTTAATAGGTACCAACGCCATTCTCTGCAAATTGGATTTGGGATTCCTGCAAATGTAAGTAAGTGTAACT